CAAAAATAAAAAAAATTCCCCAAAAATTCCAAAAAATTCCCAAAAATTTACCAAAATTCCCCAAAATTCCCGACCCCCCCAGGACCCCTCCCCACATTTCTGGGACCCCTCCCCAAATTCGGGGGGCTCCCCCAGACCCATTTAAAACCCCCAAAAATCCTCAAAAAATTCCTTAAAACCACCCCAAAAAATTCCCAAAAAATCAAAAAAAATTCCCCCAAAAATTCCCCAAAAATTCCAAAAAATTCCTCAAAATTCCCGACCCCCCCCAGGACCCCTCCCCACATTTCTGGGACCCCTCCCCAAATTCGGGGGGCTCACCCAGGCCGTGTTTTCCCTCAGGTAGCAGCCCCTGAAGCCGACGGTGTTGGGATGCCGGAGCCTCTGCAGCACCTTCACCTCCCTCACGATGTCCTGCCACTTCTGGTTTGATTGTTTTGGGGCAAAATCCCAGGATTTTGGGGTTTTATGGGAATTTGGGGTTTTTTTGGGGGGTTTTGGGGGGGTTTTGGGGTGCTGGGCTCACCTCGCTGGAGGCTCGGCCGCGGTAGGACATTTTCTTGATGGCCACCAACTCCTGGGAGCGCAGGTCCCGGGCCTGGGGGATTTTGGGGGAAGAATTTGGGGAAATTTGGGGGATTTTGGGGAATTTTGGGGGATTTGAGAGAATTTTGAGGGAATTTTGGGGGATTTTGGGGGATTTTTTGGGGAATTTTTGGGGGATTTGAGAGAATTTTGGGGGATTTTGGGGAATTTTGAGGGAGTTTTTGGGGATTTGAGGGAATTTTTAGGGTTTTTTTTGGGAGAGTTCTGGGGGATCTGAGGGGATTTTGGGGATTTGAGGGAATTTTGACAGATTTTAGGGAATTTTGGGGGGATTTGAGGGAATTTTGGGGATTTGAGGGAATTTTGACAGATTTTAGGGAATTTTGGGGGGATTTGAAGGAATTTTTTTAAGATTTGAGGGAATTTTTTGGGATTTAATGGAGTTTTGGGTGTTTTGAGGGAATTTTGGGGGGATTTGAGGGAATTTGGGGGTATTTGAGGGAATTTTTTTAAGATTTGAGGGTATTTTTGGGGACTTAACAGAGTTTTGGGTGATTTTAGGGAATTTTGGGGGGATTTGAGGGAATTTTGAGGGGATTTGAGGGAGTTTTGGGGGATTTTTGGAGAGTTCTGAGGGATTTGAGAGAATTGTGGAAGATTTGAGGGAATTTTGGGGGACTTGAGGGAGATTTGATAAAGTTTTTGAGGATTTGAAAGAATTATTTGGGAATTTTGAGAGTTTCAAGGGAATTTAAGAGAATTTTTGGAGATTTGAGAATTTTTTGTGGGATTTGAGAGAATTTTTGGAAATTTTGAGAAATCCTGGAGGATTTGAGGGAATTTTGTGGAAATTTGAGAGAATTTTTAAGGAAATTTTGGGAATTCGAGGGAATTTTTGGAGGATTTGAGGGAATTTTGGGGATTTGGGTGATCCCAGGTGGATTTTGGGGTGGTTTTGAAGGAATTTCGGGGCTTTCAGGGCGTTTTTCCCTGATTTTCATCCAATTTGAGGCAAATTTTGAAGCATTTCATGACGTTTTCAATCAATTTGCGAACGTTTAAACTCAATTCTCGCACATTTCAAACACAATTTTAAACGTTTGGAGCTTTCCCGAGCGGATTTTCAGCTTTTTTGAGGCTTTTTATTGCGTTTCGGGTAAAGTTTTTAAGCGAATTTCGATTTTTTTGTCACTCACGCTGAACACGGCCCCAAAACTTCCGTGCCCGATTTTGTCTACGCCCGCACTTCCGTGCCCGATCTCCCGCAGCTCCCCGAAGACTTTTTCGGGATCATCTTTGAGGAATAATTCGGCAACTTCGGGGTCCCGGAGGCTCCCGGGCCGGGTTTGGGGTCTTGGAGCCGGCATGGCAAAGATGAAACTGAAGTGAAAAAAAAAAACAAACAACAAAAAAACCCCAAAATCACCCAAAACTCAACCCCCCAATTAATTTCTTTCCCTCAAATCCATCGCGATTCCCTCAGGATTTCTCTCCTCAAAATTTTCCCTCAGCGCAAAAATAACCCCCCCACTCCAAACCCTAAACCCCAAAGCTCAAAAGTCACCCCAAAATCCCCCAAAACTCCACGAGGGACCCCAGAAATCCCTGAATTTTCCCCCCAAATTCCCTTTTTTCCCTCATC